TGGCCCATAGGATCAGACAAGGAATAAGGAAGCCCACGTGTCTACTGTGTGTGCGGTGAGAGAAAAAACTCAGAAGCTAAAAAAAACTGTCTGTAGTGGGTAGGGGTATACGAGTATATCTGGCATAGTGCTCCCACACTCTCCTCACAGTCTCACTCTCAAGGAAAAAATGGGTGAAAGTCTCGATCTCAAAGGTACCGGTCTCAGCACAACAATGGCAGCAGAAGGGGAAAGAAAACCCTCTCGCCTACATCACAGAGTCAATGGGAATGCGCCGTAATAGGAGGCGCCACAAAAAGACGGAAATGTTCGAGGTGAGAAGGTCGGTCCATATGGCCCCGAAGAGGCGGTTTGGCCGGTTGCCCAGCCTCACTTCTCCCCAGGCTGATGACGTAGAGAATGCACCCGAAGATGTAAGTCTCCACCTCATGCCATCCAAACCTCCCTCCAGGATGGGAATCTGTCGGATCTAGTGAATCTCTAGACTACTAAAACCCCCACCCTCACCAAGAATATTCTCCATCTTATCTCTATCCCAAAACCCTCCCGTCTAAAGGTCCTTCATCTGCATGTAAGGCAGGTGAGTGACTGGCCTAGTACTCGAGAGAGGGGCCTCACCGAACCACCACTCATCCCAGAAGCTAACCTCCCCAGAACCCAAGATCTAAAAAATGTGCTTTTGAGCACACCTGCCAACAATGGTGAGACGTCTCCACTGACGACTATCCCGGGCGGTGGCTGTCACCCTATAGGGATGAGCAGCACCACCAGGGCAATATTTCCTCAGGAGGTATTGGGCCCAAAGGGACTTTCCCTCCCTAAGGCGCCACCACATCCTGTAGGAAAACGCAGTAACCATATCAGAGAAACGCCGAATCCCGAGCCCACCCTCAGAGTGGGGACGACAGATGGAGTCCCACTTCACCCAGTGGGTCTGCCGCCGACCTCGCGAGTCCTCACCATAGCTCCAAAAATAGCGGGCTAAGATCTGATCTAACTCATGAATCGTAGACTGGTGGGGGTCAAGCACCGCGAGAAGGTGAAGAGGAAGGGCACAGAGAGTGCTCTTGATCAGAGCAAGTCGGCCTCCGAAAAATAGGTGTCTATGAGACCAGCCAGAAATCCGGTCAATCATCCTCTGGTGGATGCCAATAAAAAGCTCATGGGAAAGATGACCTTTGTACAGGGGGCCCCAAGGTAAGGGATGGGTAAGTCCCCACGAGCAAAACCAGTACGCTCGTGAATCTGGTGAGCCCAATGGTCTGCAACGTGGTGGTCCATGATAAAGGTACTCTTACTAACACTGACTACCTGGCCAGATGTCTCACTGTAGTGGTCCAAAAGACTCATGAGAGCAACTAACCCATTATCATTCGCACGAGTGAAAATGATAATGTCATCCGCGTAAGAAAGGTGGGAAATGGGAGGCCCACAGCCACGCGTGCTGTAGGTCATCCTCGGAAAATCGTGAATGAAGCCGTCAAGGCAGCGAGAGAGATAGTCAGCAACCAGAACAAAAAGGGAGGGGGATAAGGGGTCCCCTTGACGAAGGCCGCAGATAGAAGGAAAAAAGGTCGTGGGGCTACCATTTATCAAAACAGAGAATGTGCAGTGTTCCACACACGCCTCCTCAAAGCTAATCCAACGGTTAGGGAATTCCATCCGAGACAGTACCTCTCTGAGAAACGACTACTCGACCCTATCATATGCTTTGGCTATATCTAGCTTCAGCACGAGGTTCGGGGTTCGTGTTCGATTCGCATGAGAGATGTCATGTATCATCTCCTGAGCCAGTAGGATATTATCACTAATGGCTCGATCCTTGATGAATCCACTCTGGTTCGGAGAGACAAGGTGGGGGAGGAGAGGGGCGAGGCGACTATTGAGGATTCTAGAAATGATCTTGTTAGTCACGTTGCATAAGCTGATAGGTCTATAGTCAGACCAAGTACTAGGTCCCGATCTCTTCGGGATCAAAATGATGGAGGTTGCCGTGAAGGACTCTGGCATCTGGTGGCCAGAGAAAAAATCCCTCACAGCTTCCTCTATGTGAGTACCCACAATCTCCCAGCAAGACCGGAAGAAGAGGGACGAAAAACCATCCGGTCCGGAGACGCTGTTGGGGTTTATCCCAAACACAGCTTCCCTGACTTCCTCCTTACTCGGGAGGTCACAGAGATCAACAGGGTCGGAAAGAGGGCCGGGTCGGGGTGCGTAAGCAAATCCCGCTCAGAGGAGAAGAGAGAGTGGAAATAAGCCCTAGCCGACTCCCGTATCTGGGACTCCTGGGTCACTGATGACCCATTATCCTCGACACTATGGATATACGACTTGACTCGCTTCTGCCTCACGAATCCCTGGAAAAACTTGGCATTACGCTCCCCCTCAGCCACCCAGCGCACAACAGCCTTCTGCTTCTAGAAATCTTCCTCCATGAGGAGGCGCAACTGGTACTCAGCATGGCAGCGGCGCATCTCGGACCTATTCTCTGGCGAAGAATCCAAATCATAGGTCTGTTCGCCTCCGCATACGCAGTCTGAGCTGCAGTAAGGTGCTGAGAAATGTCACCAAAAATCGTCCAGTTCCGCTGCTTCAAAACGCAGTGGAGTCTCTTGAGCTTCTCCTCCAGGTTGCGCATCCCATAGAGGTGCGTAGCCTGCTGCCAAGAGACTCTAACAGTATCGTAATAAAAATGGTGGCGGACCCACATGTCCTGGAACCGAAAGGACGCTCATCGAGGGGACATAGAGAACCGACAACGAGTCAGAAGGGGGGCATGGTCGGATCCAATTCGAGGAAGGTGCGTTACAACCGTGGTTGCAAACACCCTCGTCCACGCATCTGAGTAGAGAGCGCGGTCGAGCCTCTCCTTGACTCCGGCCCTCTCCCACGTGAAGGGAGCCCCTTCGTAACCAGCATCGATGAGCTCACAATCCGATACAGCATGCGAGAAATCTAGGATCTCCGCAGAGCGGTCCGATACACCACCAATGCGTTCCTCGGGATGCAAGAATATGTTGAAATCACCGCTAATCATCCACGATAATCCCTCCATACTCTCAGCAATCTCACGCATGGTGTCCTAGATGTCATAGCGACCGACCCTCGCATAGCTGGCGTAAACCAAAGTGTAGAAGATCGAAGGATCTGACAAGTAAAGTCACGTGAGTGGAAAAACCAAATCTTGTTAGAGGTGTTTCCCATCCCGGCATGAAAACCAAGGCGTCGCGAATATACGTCAAAAGAAGGGTCACGAGTCATAGGCTCTAAAAAAGCCGCAAAGTCAAGGTTATGCTCACGAATGGGAGATCTAAAATGAGCAAGGGTGGTCCTATTAGCCAGACCACGGGCATTCCATGTAAGCGATGTGACTGACATGTCAAACATCAGTGGGACGCCTAACTGGAGCTGTCCGTGGTTAGGCTGTGTCTGTGTGTCTAGTAGGGTCAGGGCTCGGCTAGCAGAGAGCTGCGTAGTCATCGATCTGGTTTTGTGTCTCTGGTGCTCTAGGATCTCTTGGGAAGGTCCCCTCGTATAGGGGGAAACTCCTGGGGTAACAGGATGAGCTGTAGGTGCTACAATCCCTCAGGGCTTTGTGCCTGTCCCTGTGGGGAAGGCGGATCAGACCCGCTAGCGGGGGATGAGGAGGAAGTGGAAGGGAGGGTCAGAAGGGGTCGAGCTGGTGGGCAAGGGAGTGATGAAAGGTGGGGGAGGGCTCTACAATCATGAGAGCTAAGGAGGAAAAGGGAGCCTCGATACACAATGGAATGGCAGAAGACTCTATCTCATCCGCTAATAGGTCATCATCATCAAAAGGGAAGCTGGTCGATGCTCCCAGATGGTCAGAAGAAATGTGAAACTCCTCCTCCGACTCCGAGTCAAGCACAGAGAAGCGGGAATGGGT